ACGTGCAAAATGCCCCTTCCGAGCCGAACAGCACCAAAAACCTTCTCCTCCACCGATCTGCCTGATGCCAATGCAAATCAACCTTTTTATTGAACTGCTGTTTTCTATGCCATGAAGTACATCTATAGCTGTGACATTTCAGGCTCAACTATCAACTGCATGGCGAGTGGACACTGCCATATCACATGGTTAACATCACCTTGCACGTCCTGGCATCCATTCTCGTCTACGTGCTCGTTGGCAGGATGGGAGCCTCTCCATCGACCCCATCATCCTCCATCTGGGATGAAAGCACAGTGGCAGCCTCAATATTCGCTGTTCATCCTGTACATACCGAGGCGGTGAGTGACTTTTCTACATTCGAAGCAGGGCACTTCGTACCTTGAGGAATCCCCACCAGGGCAGTCGTATTTGGCCCGTGGCTGGTGGAGGTCGTATTTATCCTCACCGCTAGTTGGAGCCACCAGCAGGGGGAAGAGGTAGGGAGAGGGTAGAAGCAAGTACGACCTCACTACACGCTGTGGTCGCCTATGCAACTAATATTTTAGATGTAGCCATGTCCCCCTCCCTACACATCCTCCCCCTCAGCCGCGTTTTTCGGGAAAAACTGGAAACATTTTTGGAGTTTTTGGAAAAGTTGGGACAAATTAGTATGTTAGTAGACAGGATAGGAGAGGGGGAGGGTCGTTCTTTCCGAAATTTTAGTCAGTGGCAGGAGCGCCCTGACTGGAAAGGATATCGTGCGCAACAACTGGAGACTTCCAGCGAGAGGGGGGTTGTGTTTGGCCGCTGGATGAGGAGGGGTATATTCTTCCTGAAAAAAATCTCTAGTTCTTGATGCACCCCATTTTAGGCCCAATATTGCGGGCGGCAGGGGCTGCAAATGTACCGTTTCTGCTAGTCTATCCCGCTAGACCGGAACTTTTTGGGAAGGTTTCGCAAGACGACCCGATTTGTGGAAGGCGGTCATACAGGAGGAGACAATTCAGGATGAGGGGTCGCATTTGTTGGTGAAAATTTTCCTCAACGTCAGGTGCTCTGTTAGATTTTTCGAAAAAAAAAACGAAAATGTCACATCATTCATATTCCAGGTAGCGAATATCTCTGGTAGAGCCGAGCTACTGATGAGCGTCTTCGTGCTGGCAGCACTTCTCCACTACCAGCGATGCCTGCAATACGGTGTTTTCAACAAGCGCAACGTTGTCATCTTCTCATCACTGGTTGTGCTTGCAGTTTTTAGCAAAGAGCAAGGCATCACCGTACTTGTAAGTTCTAGTGCACTTCTAGAGTACGCTGAAATTGAATAAGGCTAAGTGCGTGTTCTCGATTGGCATTCCATACGTGCCCAACGCAATTTATTTCGAATCAGAGTTTAGCAAATATTCGAACGCAGGGGGGATGCTCATTTACTCGCAGATGAGCATTTCTTAAACAGTATACTGTGGCCTGCCGCTGCACTCGAATTAATTTCACTCGGCTTCTACCCTATTGCTGCAAACACTTGCAGAAAAAAGGATATCATTTCGCAATTGTAGTTGATGAGATGTATACTCCTATATGCGACTTCAGACGCTGTTTCCAAATCCGGCCTCGAAATCTGCTAAACGATTCTGCAAAAGGAGTTATGAAAGCTTTTTCGCCAGCCAACAAGTTGTGGGTTCGTATCCTCGCCAAGCGTAATTCATTTGCAATCTGCAGAAATGTGGCCGAAAACAATTTTTGCGTTTCTCTGGGAGTCAGATTCAAATCAGCGTCCGAATATGTTATAGGATGTATACGTCTCATCTTGAAGGCCATGCCGATTTGATATGCTTTCCTTGTTGGAGAGGCGGGGGGGGGGGGGGGGGGCAGGAGGAGGTGGGTGACACGAACTATACCATAAACTATAAAAAACAGGCGAAATGAATGTATGAACAACGGCGTGGACATTAATTAGCCTTCACGTTCACTCCTCAAGATAAGGGTGAGGCTTTGAGAGCGACGCGAGGCAGCAAATGATTTGAGGTGAGGCGTACATACACCCAGTCCTACACCATTTTTGTAACATGATCTCTTGCAATTACTGTAATTTTCAGCCAATCTGCATCGCTCTGGAGCTCTTTGCTGGAGTCCCGTGGAAAGGATCCAGCGTGCTCCGCTGCACATCCCTTGTTCTTCTCGCCACTACGCTTCTTTTCCTTCGTCTGTACATCAATAACTTCACAACACCGAAATTCACCGCGAGCTCGACAACGCGGCCGCATTTGTCTCCGATCCCCTGCTTCGGGTTAGTTCTTGTCCTGTGCTTTCTGTGCGTAGGTTTGGGATTCAATTCAGAACTCTCTCAATATGGGATCGCTGTTTTTGATGTCAGGGTAAAAAGAGCGAAAAAAATGATAAAAATTCCCTCCGCCGCTTCTATGCTCTTTTTGTGCAAAGGAACTCCCGCAATTTCTTGAAGAAACCTGATTTTGGACTCTCTAAGTCGCACCAAATTCATATTTCACCTATTTCAGTGGGCATCCTACAGTCACCTATGGCTCATAAATCTCCGCCTTCTTGTGCTACCATACTCCCTGTGTTTCGACTACTCAATGGGATGTGTACCAGTCGTACAAAGCTGGACGGATTTCCGTGCTCTGGCGCTGCCAGTTGTGATCGCCGTAGTTCTCGCAACTGCATATGCCCTTCTCAAGACGAGTGACCGGTAAGCACTTTCATAATGATGCTCTATGTTGGGGTAATTTGTGGCATTTCAGACTCTTTCGCGTTGGTGTTACCATCGGTGCTATTACATTTCTACCGGCAAGCAATCTGCTCGTTACTGTTGGCTTCACCATTGCTGAGAGGGTGCTCTACCTGCCGTCAGTAGGAATGTGTATTCTCATGGCCAAAGTGTTCGATATGGTTCAGCGTCGGGTCAGGAATGCTGAGAAAATCTTTGTGGCGATTCTGGTAGTCGCTATCACAATGAGCTATCAGGTGATTATTTGAATAGTAATTCGGCAAAGTATTGAGGAAAGAACAGTCGAGAGACTTGAGGAAGGTTTCCCGGTGAAGTAGTGGAGATCGACTTAAAATGCAGCAACTGCCCTCGAGGGGATGAGGGGCGGGGAGATCCGGGCGAGCAATTTGCGCAGGAATTTGCGTGTTCACACTTCGCGACGTGAGCGTTCGGCCGCTCCATGCACCCAAGCTACTGGATCGCTGGAACGGTCAGAGAAACTGTATCTAATTAGCATCTGCGGTGCAATGACTGGGGGTGGTTTGCAAGTCGCTCAGAGTCGCGCGATTTGGAATTTGCTCGAGTCGCGAAGTATGAACGCGTACAGGAGCTGGCGGAATGCGCTTGACGCCGTTTATTGCGAAAAAAAATCATGAAATCGCGTAACTGTGGAAAGGAAGTAATATTTGTAAAAGCAGTTATGGGCCTAATGAGGATGTTGATCCTTAAAGTAATCCAGAAAGCAAAAGGTTGATCAATGCCAGGCGTTCTAACCCCTACTGCTTACAATATGCTGTTTATCCGTTTGTTTCAGCGGCTCGAAGAATGGCGCCAGAAAGCTGGACTTCTACGCGAGGCGGGCTAGCGGTGCTGCACGCAAAACGCTTAAGGTTTCACTATAACCTTGGCAAGTTCTGAGCAGAATTGTGTGAGTCAGATCGGGGCGGACACAATTAGCTGGAATGCCATCCGGTGAGTGAAGTCTATTTGAGACTTACATTTTTGGAGCTGAAAGGATCGTTTGACTTGTTCTTAGGTTGAATCCCAACTATGAGCATGCGATGAACAATTTGGCGAATATTCTGGAAGTGAAGGGACGAAGTGAAGAAGCTGAAGTGTTGCTGAGAAAAGCATTGAGAAGTCGGCCTGTTTTTGCTGTTGCATGGATGAATCTTGGCGTCACACTCATGAACCAAGGAAAATTTGAGGTACTCCTTTTTAGCGTTTGAAGGATTCGCCATGAGGTGTCAGAGCAACAGAAACGGCTTGTTCTGTTCCCCACCCTCCCTTCCCGCTGCACTGCACTTTTTTTGGGAAAACCGAGGAACTTATTCTGTTGGAAAACTGAGAAAAAGTAGTGGGGAAGTAGAGAAAAGTTAGGAAGATTGTTGGGGCACGATATAGGGAAGAGAGGTCGCACCGGAGGAAGAAATCGTGAGCAGGGCTGTCTGACACTTTCGATTCTTTCATCCTGATGCTGTACTCCGAGCGTGCTGTCGTCTGGTCTAGGAATAAATTCCCAGGCTACTAGGACGCTATAAAGTAGGTGGGCCTTGGGAAATTTATAACGCTGTTATTCACTGAAAGACGCAGTTAGCTACTAACTACTGTAAAATCACTTCCTTGTGCAGGCGCAGCCCACAATTGCAGAGGTTGTTGGGGCTCCAAAGTTCTTGACAAGAACGCTAGATGTCTCCCACAGTGGCCGAACTCCGCCCCGGAAGTCTGCCTGCTCCCTTCCATCGCGCAGCCGAACCAAATAGTGCGAAGTACGAGCAGCTCCTTTGTGTACGAAGCAGGAGCAACTCCTTTGTCGGAAGAGAAAGATAGCTGCTAATCGTGGCAATACATCATTAGAAAAGCTGCTATGATTCATACGAAGTTCAAAAGGACATAAAAACGGCTGTCACTGCTGCAGACTAGGGGCGTTATTTTATAAGTCGTGTCAACTGTGCTCCCAGGGGTTTCTGGTAACACAGAGTGGCCAAGGCTTCCTCTTCTCCCGGGTGATCCTCCAAGAGCGCAAGCTCTGGTTCGTTGTTTTATGATCAATTTGAGTTATTCACTAAAAATGGTCACGATTAAGGAAGCGCTCAACTCATTCCATCGATCTATCCAGCTGCGACCCTCCAGTGCAGACTGTCTCTTCAATCTCGGAAATCTCTACCAGAAAATGAAAAGACCCGAGCGTGCACTCGAAGCGTGGAAGAACGCCACAATGTGAGTCTGAAAATTATAATATCCTTGGGCTAGAAAGAATCCATCCGGGCAGGGATGAACGCGATTATTCTAAAGACGGTTGTTGATCCCACCAAATAATTGGTTCTGTTCTGACCAGAAAAGTTGCCTTTTCAGGCTCGACCCTCATCACAGCAAAGCATTGACTAACATTTTTGTGGCGTTGGACGAGCGTGAGGAATGTGATGCCGTGGTGACCATGGCTGAAAGGATTCCGAACACGGTCGTGGACCAGTCGGCTGCACTCGCTTTCCAGATTGGAGTATGTCTGGGGAAAATCGCTCGATTTGCTGAAGCTGAACGTCATCTGAAAATCGCCATTGAGCTCAGTCCGCAGAATGCCATGTATCATGCGAACCTAGGTAAAGGTTACAATAATCCGCATTTTCGTAACATATA